CCACGGAGTTATCAGTATTCGTACTGTCAAGTGTTATCCTCTATAAATAAAGTCTCTTATCTTATCTTATCTTATCTTATCTTATCTTATCTTATCTTATCTTACGTGTTCTGGAGTGTCAACTGCAGAAATTGAATATAAACTAAACTCCGACTTGCGTAATTTAAGTAAATGGCTCGAGGCCAACAAATTAACATTAAATACTAAGAAAACTAAATCTATGCCGATTGCTGATAGCCTCAAAAAAAAAATTAAACCTAATCCCTAAAGGCCTCCAAATACTAATTAATGATACACTTATTGAACAAGTCAAACAGAAGGAGGTCTTTGGGATTATAATTGACGAAGACGGAAATCGAACGAATCTTGAAAAACTGTACAAGATGGAAAACAACTTCAAACTACGAAATAAGGTCAAAAACAATCTTTCGGATTCTAGGATGGGCTCCAATTGAGCCTATTTTCAGGAAAAGGGAAATTTTAATGACATTCAAAGCTATTCGTTGTATTGCGCCGGAGCACGTCTCTAACATGTTCTCTTATCACCAAAATAACATTTACGAAATGCCGAGTAACATGCGCAAGCTTGTGTTAGGTAAGCCTAAAACTAATTTTACGAAAAGATCCTTTTCATACCGATCGCGAAGAGCTTAATTGTGCCTGGAACAACTTACCCATTGACATAGTCAACCGGTATGAGCAACTATCAACATTTCATTTTAAAATTTTAATCGAGAATTGTTTTTCTATTGATTAAACAATAAAACAATAATTTATTCAAACAAAGTCCCAATATTGGGACATATATAGAATACATGGGTAAATAACTGACTGTTGATAATGCTCACAAGTATTGCAACATGACTTATTAATATTGTTTTACTTTAACATTGTTTTATTTTGTAAATATATATTAATATTTTATAGGTTTGTATAAAATGATCCCTTGAAAAGCAGCATTAGCTGAAGGGCAATCGTTTCTAAATAACTATTATAAATATATAAATATAAATAAATATTTAATAATATATAATATAACAGACAAAAAACGCAGTGAAGTCCAACGGTCCGAAAAGTTGATAGGCTAATTCTCATGAAATGGCTCACTTTTCAGTGGTTTGTCTCTTTAGAACGGCTTACCTGAGGCAATTTTATTTGTAAACTTTTGGAATGCACAGTGCATTATGCAACCTCGTATCCAGGCTCCTTCCCCTACGCGCCTCCAGCGAAGCGCGTAGAGGAAAGAGCCTAGGTACGAAGTTGTGCATTGTGGGTTTTGGGTTCGAGATTGACAAAGTTTGTATACGGGGAGATTTTGTGTTATACTCTATGACAAAGACAAAACAATCATATAAGATGATAAAAGACAAGAGATATAGACATAGCCGTTTTGCAGTCGACTAGAGCGTATTCCCGCCATACTTTGGTCCTTTATTTTATTGGGGTACACAACATATTGGTCCTAAGCTTTTTTTTGTAAAACATGAGCGATTGCGCCAGTATATGCTCATGGGTAGTCTAAGACGTCGAAATACATTGGTTTTAATGACGTTTATTTATATAAATTGCAAAGCTTACAAAAAGTTACTAAGGTTCATGATTAGCCAACAAAGCAAATTGCCAGCTATATGGGTGTCTGGAATTCAGACACCCATATAGCTCGCAATAGAATATTAGGGTGTCGAAATTCAGACGAACATATCTTATATTAGTATCTGATGAACACGTTCATGCATATATATATATATATATATATTAAAATCCAGTAATATATATGCATTTTGATACATATATGATTTTCGTATGCTCATAAGCACGCTCATTAATATACCAAAATACAGTAATTTTGGTATATATGAGTGTGCTCATGAGCGTACCTTATTTTGGTGTGTGCATGATGAGCACGCTCGTATATATATACCAAAATACAGTAACATGTACATATATGCAGTAGTCACGTCATCATAGTGTCATGTGATGTAGCGGAATAATAACTTTGGGGGTTTTTAAAGAACGGATGGTATTGAAGACACTGAACGAGATTGCTTATCACTAGAAGTTAACATTTATACTGGGATTTGTATATAGTTTGTTATTAGTATTATTAAATTGGTTTCACTAAAGAGTCTGAGTTCTAATATTATAATATGTGCCTATAAGCATAAATTTTGGTTTCTATTAGCACGCTCATTTATGTATCAAAATCCAGTATGCTCGATCATGAGCATCCTCGTATTTATACCAAATCCTGTATCCTCGTGATAGTGCTTATGAGCATTGATTACTGGATTTTGGTATATGTACATCAATTTCGTACCCAGGGTATTTTCTCTTGGTTAGGGGAAAAAGACCCTGGTAGACGCTGGTCGCGTGATCTGCTAAAATCTAAAAGATTTTTAATTAACAATCAAAGATGAGGTCAATAAATGTTTGATATTTGGATGATTTTTATAGTTTAATTTATAATTTGCATTTTGTATGTTTGTCGCAAAGGAATCCAAGATAGTTAATTAGAAATCTGCTAGATTTTAGCTGATCACGTGACCAGCGTTTACCAGGGTTTTTTCCATTCTCGTACCCAGATCCCTTCTTACGCGCGGTGCGACGAGGGGCTCTGGCCAAATCCAAAACCGGATACCATGCTGAAAAACATGCATGGTAAAAAAATATATCCGGTGTTAGAACAATAACCCTCGTTGTAGTCAATCAGATGCCAGTTTGATATGGATTTGGCTAGAGCCCCTCGTCGCACCGCGCGTAAGGAGGGCTCTGGGTACGAGAATGGGTTTTTGTCTCCAAGAAGGAAGATCCTGGGTACGAGGTTGATATGTGTATACGAGGCTGTTCATGAGCATGCTGCATTTTGCTACATATATAAGCGTGCTAGTGAGCATACTCCACAGTAATATAGAAATGCAATAAAAAGCGGCCAGTATAATAAAATATAGCAACTATGTACTCTATTTTTTTGAAAACTCATTACTGTCAATGCAATGGAAGTGTTGATAAAATAATTCATTTCCTCAAGTTGATCAATTCATAGGAATTTAAATTTCGTTTTACTTCCTGTATATGTTTCCTATTGGTCAATCGGTTCTGAAACAAAATCTAATTGGCTTATCCAAACGTAACAGGAAGTTGATCAACTTTCTATCAAGTGAATTGATCAATTTGAGGAAAGGAATTGGTGCAATCTTTTATCAACACTTCCATTGCATCAACAGTAAATAATTCATCAGGGACCGGTTGTACGAAGGTCGGATAGCGCTATTCTTTAAGCTCCGACCACAGTGCTCACAAGTCGCCGGCTCGCTGCGAGTAATAACTGCATGCTTTATGTAATTTGTACTATTTTTAGTTCTATTTGCTCTTGGTGCTCGCAGCAATCCCTACCTTGTACCCTTACTAGTACAATACATTTTATCAGGGGCCCCCCAAAATTTTGCCAGAGGGGCCAAAATTTTGCCGGTGGGGGGGGGGGGCGGGCCCTCCGGCCCCAGCCCTGGCTACGCCTCTGTTTGGATCAGAAATGAGAACTTAGCTAACCCGCTGAGTTTACTCGTCCATTAGAGGAAATTGTTCAAAAAGGAAGAAGACGAGAATGCTTTGAATGTTTTGACCAACTTACATGGGGTAACTGGGATACATGGCAGCTGATGGTCTCAAGTTGCTGCGGAAATTGGAGTGAGCTACCGAACTATATTACGACGACGCCACGAGTACCGCTTACCAGTCAGCAACACGAGTGGGCCACGAAACACGTTTACTTAAATTACCCATACTGATTTGTGTAATGTTGTTCGAGAGGTTCTCCAGATTTTACCTAACGCTGGTGAAACGTTTGTGTTGGGCGCCCTAGGGCAACGAAATATTCATATTCAACGATGGAAATTGAGAAATGCAATTTGCAGTGTAGACCTTTTAAGTCGTGCTTTGAGGCGAAGTGTTGCCATTCTACGCCGTGTTTACAATGTTCCATGCCCTAATGCATTGTGGTAACTTTTGTGTACACTACCACAGAATAGAGACATACGGAGTTATAACTACTGTGCCCATTTTCTTGTGCGCATGCTCGGCAAGTTACTAGATGCATGCATCCAATTGCATCACGACTCACTTTAACTGCTCGCTGAATTTGCACAGTTGATCATTTTTTGCCCGGTCACCTGAAAAAAGTGGGTACATGAAAACGTAAGCTTCCGCAGTGTTTACGACGGTCAGTTACAGCTCAAAATCGAAGCGAAGGCGCGAAGCATCAACAATGAATGTCGTCCAATTAATGGTCCAATGTAATGTCCCCCCCCCCTGGAATATAAAATAGCCCTCCGTCCACTATATGGGTCGTAAGATGAAGTAATTCCGAACGCGAAATTGTAACCTATATCACGAGCTGCATTGTGGTTTGTGATCTATATCACGAGTTGTGATATAAACCATGATTTGTAACCTATATCACGAGCTGAAATGTGATCTATATCACGAGTTGTGATATAAACTATGATTTGTGATATATATCACGCGCTTACAATATTTCAAATATTTGGAAGAGTAACCTATTCATGACGAGTTATACTGGATATATTTGCAGTAATATATATCACACAACTATGATCTATTTTGTCATATTTGGCGCCTCATACAAACGGCCCCAGGTAAAGACACAGAAAATCGCCACCGTGTCGGTTGTTTACATGTGATAAAAAATCCTGTCAATTGTCCTTGTATGTCAACATAAACTTTAACTTTCACTTTCTCAGCTTACATAACGTTGATTCAGTTTAAAATGAACTTATTAAATTGGTGTTTTTTATGCCATTTCAGTAAAAACACTCAGATCTGATAAAGCATTCCTGCTTGTGTTTTAAAAAGTACCTAACTACAATTAGTTATATAGATGCCCCCAAAACCCTGATATTGAATTTGACACTCTAGCCGTTTTTTGTAGCCTGTGGCTTCTTTTATGAAATCTGGTATCTTTCACAGTATTAACTGAGGCGTGAATTAAACTCGGCGAGGGACTCTCTTGTGTTCAAGTCACTTGCCCGCTTGCGAGGGTTCAATTTTAGTCCATAATTTCTTGCATATTTTGTGCGCAAGTCTTAAATTAAATTTCGAATTTTGGCAACACAGACTTCCCGTTTGTGGTAAATTTCAAAGTATTTTTCTATGCGTGTCAACCTGCTTTTTATATTTAAAGTTTGTTTGGTGACCTCATGAAAACGTGGACAACTACCCATATTTTAAGGTACATGAAGCATTCCGGGTTGTCATTTTATCAAAGGGTATACGGAGAGAACAGGACGTTGAAGATGTCGAAGCGAGCAGTAATTACTCTGATTTTAATGTGTATTTTGGTTTCCAACTTTTGGTAAGTCGAGGCGTTCTGAACGCGTGCTTTTTGTCTCATACCTATTTTCTTTATTTCATATTTATTTATTTTTTTCAAGGATCGACGCGAAACACGCTCCCAAACACGCCAAGAACAAGGTTCACAGTTTCGTGAAGGCCAAAAAGGAATCCCATACTTCTCCAGACGCTGCTAAACGGCAAAGCGGATCAACTGGTAAGTAAGTGATAAACGATAGGACTAAAATGGCACTGGAAAAACCGATCTAATACTTCGGCAATGAAGCCCTCTGTTTCGTTTCGTTTCGTTTTGTTTCAACTTCTCTGCATGGAGCGAATTAGCTACATGGTGTCTAAAAAAGTAACCCTTTAAAAAGAGTTAAAAATTACCTTTTAGTTTTGTTGTGAACACCCAATCTTCATTTATTTACCTCTAAAAGTTTAGCCGGAATGCATTG